AAAAGAAGTCTCATTTCAGTAGTGTTTTCATTTTGTTTTACAGCGACCTCAGTTATAACCGYCTTATGAGTTTACAAGGGTCTCCCTTCCGTGGGTTGGATTCTCTGCTAACCTTGTAAGTATGTGAAAATAAAAGAATACGGTCCTCATCTCTCTTTCTTTCTCCCTCTCCAACCTCCCCCCGTCCCCCCATCCTCCACCACAAAAGCAATGCTTCTCTTAGCTTTTCCTACCAAGAAGGAGCTAGTTCTAAGAATGTAAGCTTTCTAGATCACAAAACATACATTTTGGAAAATCACTTTTTCCTGTCTTTATGTCATAGACAAATGAGGTCAAATTTTATATCAAGACTAAAGCCTGATGTATTCAGTGGACTTTCTCGTCTTCAAAACATGTAAGTTTAATCAAAAGGTACTAAATCTACATTTTTGTCAGTTGTTCCAATAGACTTCAATTTTATTTTGACATACTAAAGGTTATGCAGCAAAAATGTCATTTCGTTTAGAGATTTAAGCAACAATCTATTGGATGATGTTGGAAAGGGCGTACTGGATCCGTTAACGCATTTACAGATCTTGTAAGTAATATGCAAATAATTATATCCAGTTAACAATCCACTTGCAATATAGTATTATTTCTGTTATCTCGGGGTGCAACCACATGAATCAAAATCCATTCAGACATGACTTAACAATGAAACAGCCGCGATGTTGGCTGATATACCAAGATAAGATAATGAGGAATGCTTTGTTATCGTCAACCAATTTGCCGGTTGTGACGTAACATGTACCGAAAGAACAAACCACCACTACCAGAATCCCTTGCACACTTTCTTTTGATTAATTAATTAATCAAGTATCAGCAATTTCAAAGCATTAATAATCAGTAAACAATAATCATAATTATGAACTATTTAACAGGAGCCTAATGTCCAATCGCATCATTCATATTGAAAACGAAGCATTTAAACATCTGAGGAACTTGACCAGCTTGTAAGTAACAAAATAAACGAATTATAAAAGGACAACTTTACAAATATATTCTTGAATGAAAATATGAAATGAAAAATACAATGGGAAAAGAATCTGCCAATATGTGACGGGTTGCAACAATTCCGAAAAGAGCTAGACATTGCCARGCCACGTTGGTGGTATATGTATATTAACATTGGATACTAATGGATTTTTGTCTTTTGTCGGCCACAAACATGGCCATGATGRCGTAACGTCGATCGAAGAATACACCGTAATAGAATGATACCACGTTAAACAACTTATTTATTAACTTGCTTATTTATTTTCCCCCTGCATCTCTCGCTTAGTCTTTGAAGATATAAATGCATTCAAAAGTATATACCACACAATAACAACATCAGAACCCTAGCTAATACAGATCTTCAAATTGGTTTATAGGCATGATGCATATGTAATGAGCCCTGAAGTAACTAAAGTTGAAATCGTAAGATATTGAATTACGCATACCTTTTTGTCTTAGATATTTAAGTAATAATCGGATCAAAAAACTAAATCAAGACACCTTTAGAGGACTACATTCTCTTCGAGTTTTGTGAGTATAACTTAGATTATGACAAGAAGAGTATATTATTATCCTCAGCCTCAGCCTCAGCCTCACCCTCAGCCTCACCCTACTCCTACTCCTCCTCCTCCTCCTCCTCCTCCTCCTCCTCCTCCTTATCGCCTTATCCTTATCCTCATGTTATTAATTTCTTTCATCTTTTCATCTTCTAAAGACATCTGGAGAAGAACAACATTAAAGAATTCAAAGAGGATACCTTCAAGCACCTTCAGAAATTACGTGTGCTGTAAGTAKAACCGTATCATGAGAGTTTAAAAGAGCAATTCCTTTTTTTGAGTTGTATCCACATTCCTAGATCTTCTMATGCTCAGGAATGACACTGAACTTTGCTTATATAGAGGATGACACTTGACAGTAATGCGACTTATAAATTCGTGGTCCTCTTTTAACATCTGTAGTTTATTATAGCATCGYGTAGCGTATAACTTGGTTAATAAATATTCCAGGGAACTGTACGGGATAGTAATATAATTTGCCTAATTTTTATCTCAATCCCCAGAAAACTCGATCGCTTTGTACATTGTTGCTACGCCATAAAGTCAGTTAAAGGTCTTAATTGTCAGTCTCCCAAGTCTGCRTTTTCCAACTGTGATGACCTGATGAAGAACAAAACCCTAAGAGCCTGCATCTGGATTCTTGGTATTCTTGCGCTTCTTGGAAACATTGGCGTCATAGCTTGGAGAATGGTTGCAAGAGAACAGYTAAACCAAGTGCACTCATTTCTATTAACCAACCTCGCGTTTGCTGACTTGTTGATGGGAGTTTATTTGTTGCTTGTCGCTTTTAAAGATGTAGAGTTTAAAGGTGTCTACTTTAAGCATGATCTTTATTGGCGGTCAAGTCGRCTGTGTCAATTTGCAGGCGCTCTTTCAGTCATTTCAAGTGARGTATCCGTTCTGATTCTTACAACATTGACAGCAGACAGATTCGTATGCATCGTATTTCCTTTAAAATTTATAAGCCTGAAAATGAAATCTGCAGTATTTGTTGTGATGACGATATGGACTGCAAGCCTATTGATATCAATACTACCAATTGTAATCAAAGATTACTTTTATGACTTTGATTGGCAAGAAGGTTTCTACGGTCGGTCTGCCGTTTGTCTTCCACTCCAGCTGTCAGGGGAGCGACTCCCAGGCTGGGARTATTCAGTTGCCATTTTCATTGCCTTGAACTTTTTCGCCTTCACATTCATTCTCGTCGCCTATGTGGTCATGTTTTGGGAAGTAAAATCTGTTGGGAAATCTGCCCGTTCAAATAATCATACGAGAACGGAGTCCGCCCTGGCAAGGCGAATAGCATTCATAGTTATAACTGACTTTTGTTGCTGGATGCCAGTTATTGTAATTGGGATTCTCTCTCTACTTGGAATATTCAAAGACCCAGAAAAACAAGTTTACGTTTGGATCGCAGTTTTTGTTCTGCCTGTAAATTCATCAATTAACCCAATATTATATACATTCTCTACTCGGAGTTGGCGCAGAGGAAACAGTAGAGAAATGTCGTTTATTGGTTTTATGGTTAATGCTGCAAATCGTGTCAGTATTGCTTTTAGCCGAGGTATGTATAAAACTATATTTCAGCTCATCACGATAATCTTGGGTCGGAACTGAGTAAGGCTAAACTAAGTGACGCGAAATGGCGAAGCTTTTCCAATCATTCATTTTCCATATTTACCTGTTAAACACAAACTTTGGTACCAGGAATCATAAACCGGATGCAGTTTAAATTGCGCCTTCTCTCGTGCTTAGACTGGCAAGCGCGCTTTTTTCGTTGCGGTTTTGATCACCAAAAACGAGAAAAACTTATGAACTCGTAAACTCATTTATATAATGATATAGCTTTCTTTTTTTTAATTTTGTAATAAAAATTAAGGACGATCGCATGCTGATAGCTTGGATGGAACAACTGCAGTAATACCTATGACAAACATGTCAACTGCTTTAGACAAAAACGGGCTACGAAAATTTAAGAAGTTGAAGAGCAATTCTCTTCTTAGAGGATTGCAAGTCGTGGAGAAGGCTGGAATGTTCAAAGGAAATTTCTTGCCGTCAACGGTAGGTCTTTCTTTATTGAAAACTAGTGAAAGGTATTCTTGGGGTGCATGTTACGTTATAGCGCCCTGTTGGTTGACTATACAAAGCATTCATCATCAAACGTCTGTTGTTAGATCAACCAAGATGGCGGCTGTTTCATTGTTTTTCATGGCGTCTAAGGGATTTGTCGGTCACGTGGTTACAGCCCATGAACAGCTATAATTTCCCTGCTGCCATTTATTTTACGACAGCCCGGTTGTGGAGCAAAACATACATTTTATTCTTTTGGAAAAATGAAAAAATTATTAGCACGCAAACGCTACATGGAGCCCTTACAATCAACAAGAGTGGTGCGAAAATTGTTGGAAGTGTTTGGGCAAGAAAATCAATGAAACAGGAGAAAAACGTTTGATTCTCTTTAGATAATGAAGAAAAAAATGCTTGCATATTTTAGGAATTGGAATGCATGCAAAAGTTAACATTCTTAACGTATATTTTATTTTAGGAGTTCTTCATTGCTCGCTGTGGTAAGTCAAAAGAAAGCGCAATTGTTCTTTTAAAAGTCTTCGCAAGTAACCAGAGAATGGATTGGGAGAGAGAAGTGGAGGCGTTGGAAAGAGTAGAAATGGACGGAGGCCACCCAAATATTATCAAACATCTATGGCATTCAGAAGGTAACCAACCCCGCTCGATTTGAGCAACATGATATTGATTTCTTTTAAGATTGAGATATTCTAAGTTATTTTTTCTATTTTTTTGGATCAGCAAATAAATTACCTGCAGACATCGACCTTAAAAACCTTGCCCCTGTTAGAAGCTGCAGCATGTAAGTATATTTGTCTTGCCTATTTTGTCTTCAAAAAGTCATTAATAATTCATGAAGGGAACACAATAGGAATCATGACCATGAAGGTGATTTTATATCTGATATTGATGGGTTGCAACAAGAGAATATGAACTAAGAGAAGGAATCCTACCTATATAGCCTTGTGACCATCATGTGCACAGTTTGATGCTATTTTTAGCTTGGAGATATTTTGAGCGAAGAACCTGATTGGTTGATTTCTTGAGGGTAGGCGGCTTCTAGTCTTGCAGTAAACAAAAGCCTGTGTTTTTGTCGCTTTTCGTGTCCTAAAACGAGGCATTAAAGGAAGCATGATTATCGCGCGGGCATGGTAACGAGCTAAAAATAGAATCAATGATTCTAAAAATAGCATCAAAGTGTGCACATGATGGGGCACGGGGATTCCTTCTCTTAGTTCATTTTCTCTTGGTTGCAAGCATTCTCTACAGAGTCAAAAGACAAAAACATGGCGGCCATTGTTGTGCCGTTAACAATGGATGCTAATGAGAAATCTTTTGTTAAATGGCACCAACGTGGTCGCGATGACGTAACGTGCAATCGAAGAATAGATTCGTCTTCATATTCATAAAATCTTACTTCAATTTTCTCTATCAAACTTGGTTCATTTCGTAAAGAATCCGGTACAATATGAGAGCATACATCATAAGCCGTTTAATAAACTCGCAGATCGTGTTTTATCGGGTCTAAGACCACTGGGCTGCGCCTCGTGTTTTATATCCGTTAAAACACTCCTGCTCGTTTATTAAACACTACATAAGCGTGACCGTGAGGTAAAGACTACAAATAAGAATAAATAGCTTAATAAAATAAATAGATATAAAAACTCCGAAAAAGAAGATATTCTGATAAACATTTAAATAACGAATCCTTATGACAGTTAAAATGTTAGCTGCTTTAAAAATACAGGCAGAACTTCAGAATTCAGGGCCAAGTGCATGCACACATTTAGTAACCCTTTGTTCTTCTATTGTTATTGCGTCGTTTTCAAACGATTTGTTTCTTGCCAAAACAAAATGCATGGCCAAATATTCTGAAGTTGCTCCATCTAGAGGAACTGAAAGACATGTAGATAAAGGTAAAAACAAAAACAAAAAACAAAAACAAAGACTTACTATTGGGAAGAACGAGACGATGAACGACGAGGACGAAGTGACTCGAAATTAACACACACAAAAAGGCGTATATAATCTGAGCGTACTCCGGAGGGACAACGTTAACAAAAGCAAAATTACTAAAGAATGAACGAGCTGGAAGGCTATAATACACTTGAAAAAATTACACAAGAACGCTTAACAAAGAATGCACGGGATAGCCCTATCTAACAAGTAATATATACAGTATGAGTGGCCGTGTTGTATCAGATATACAACCACGAGGCGTAGTCGTTCTTGTCTTATTTTTGTTATCTGCTTCTTCTCTCTAAACATATACATCACTCTATGATGAATAGCAAAATTACTAACTATAAGACTTACTATGCATAGGGCACTTCCCATTAAGTCGGAAACGATAGGTCAGAGCAGCCGGTTCTCAAATGTTAAGCGTCACTTTTTAGAACTGGACAAACGCTGCCCGAACCAGTTCTAAGAACTAACGCTTACTATTTGAGAACTGGTTCGATTTAAATGAAAGCGCTGTTAGAGTTGCATCATTTTTCTTGACACTCGATATCATTCACTATTACTGATAAATATTTTTGCTATTCCTTAGGTTAATTTGCTTCGAAGTATTATCACGTAACACACTTGAAGATTATCTTAATGACCTTACAACTTTACTTCATCCGCATCTCCTATTGGCCATTGGGACTGATGTCATTAACGCCCTAAGACATCTCGAACGTTATCATATCGTTCATAACCAAGTGAATGCTTCAAGCCTGATGATCCAGCAATGTCTGGGGGTATGGACCTCGTTATATAATTTATTTGGATGCATATCCTAATACAACTTCAAAATGTTTTGCGCTATAAGCCCCTTGCACTGAGTCCCGAGAAATATTGTTCTGGGGGACAAAACCATGGATTCTTTTTTTGCATAAGAAAAGACGGCATATTGTTTTGTCTCCCAGAACAATTCCTCTAGGAACTCAATGCAAGGTATCTATTAATAATAAATGACATTTATTGGCTGAGAGTATCATTCCATTCGTGGTGATCCAGCAATACCCCAATAGAAAACAGTGACGTGTATTTGACACGACATCTTATACTCTTTTTGTTATGTTTGTTTTTATTTCAAAGTTCTAGTACTTTGAAATATTTCAAAGTCCGAGTAGTAGGACTTTGAAATATTTCAAAGTACTATGACTTTGAAATGGGTGCGGTCGTATTTGATGGGGGTTTCAAACTACGGAAACCAAGACACCAATAATCGAAAAAGGACTGAACACTGCACAGTTGTAAAAACTTTCAAATTTTATCGATACCCTGTTTACATTCCTCAAATAAAGAAAGAGGGACAAAAGACCAAACAAACTCTATTGACAGGTGATGCCAAGTCTGAGAAGTGTATTCAACCCGTAACGTTTTCTATTCTGGTTAATCCATAGGTTCCACCAGTGAAGGCGATTCTGGGAGGGTTTGGTAAGGCGATGTACATTGGTTCGATGAAAAAAATGAATAACGTGCAAACAAAAGATCTCAGAAATGACATAAGACATTATGGCGTGCTTCTGGATCATCTATTGGTCCACTGCAGTGACGATTTTTACTTCGTAAGCCAGGTATTGAGGATGTACTAAAAAACCTTAAAATTTTGTCTAACCCTAAAACACTGAACTCTAGCTGTGTTGATAAAATTCAGGGCATAGCCAACAGTCACAGATTGAACCTCTGGGCTGACGTAAGTTAGGGCAAGGCTAGCAGGTCAAGCAGGTGTTCTTGTTGGTTAATTTGGGCTACATTTAGGCGAAAACCGTGGTTTCGGGGGTACTTTGGAAATTTTTGAACGAGCAAGAACTGAAACCAAACCCACCAGAACACATTTTGCTAACAATATAATCGATATTAAGTTATCAATTTTGCATTTTGCAAAGAAATGTTCGATCGATTTGACGAAAAAAATAGCCAGTTGAGGATCTCTACTGAACCTGAAAGTACTCCAAAAGTACTCTTGTGTTTCGACGAGTTTTTCTAAATTGAGAAAATAGATAACGCTAAAAAACAAAACATACACTCTACTTTTAAGTAATTGTACTTAAAGGTACAATTGAATTTTTTAAATTTCTAAAATATTAACTTATAGTGGTTTAAATGAAAAATGTTATATCTCCTTTTCAATGCATGATGGGATAACAGGTGAACTCACAAATGCAACACTGAAACATCCTCTGTGTTTTAAAGTCGGGGCACGACTAGCTCATAGACTATTAGAATCTAGCGTTTAAAGTTTTGTCGAGGGAGGAAAACTGTAGGCCTATTAACCTCTACTCTAAAAAGAGGACGATTACAGGAATCTTGCCCGCGAGAGGTGAGAGGCGAGTGCGGTATACCACGACATTTTTGATTCCCTTTAAAAATATTTATCGCTATCATATACTAATTTTTTTCCCTTTCATTTACCAAAAGGTAAAATGTATTTCAGAAAGATGCCAACAAGAAACAAACAGACCAACACCGTCAGACGTTCGCAGTCTATTGGAAGTGATATGGGATGAGATTGGTACATGGGACACTATGCTGTAGTCTTTGACAACACCGTCAGACGTTTGCAGTCTATTGGAAGTGATATGGGATGAGCTTGGCACATGGGACACTAT